ATAGATTGTAAAGAGCTGTGTCTGAGCCATGAACAGGTTGAGAGTTTATGGGTGAAAATGAGGGACTGGTCCAATAAAGGGCATCCAGTGGTTGGGGTCTGCTACAAGCCACCTGATCAGGCAGAGCCTGTTGATGAAGCTTTTTTGCTTCAACTGCGGGAGATGTCAAACTTGTGGGCTCTTGTCCTGCTGGGGGATATCAACCACTGGATATCTGCTGGGATAGCAGCACAGTGGGTGGCAGACAATCCAGATTCCTGGAGTCTGGTGAGGATAACTTCCTGGCCCAGGTATTAGACGGAAAGACCTAAGGTGAAGCCTTAGTGGTGCATACGCATTGGTGCCCACCAATGTGGAGGAAAGCATCAGAGAGGTTAAGACTGGAGGCAGCCTGGGCTGCAGTGATCATGCCCAGGGGGAGTTGGCGATCTGGAGGAATGCAGGCCTGGCAAAAAGTAGCATCAGAACCCTGTGCTTCAGGAGAGCAAACTTCCGGCTGGTCAAGGAACTGCTGGATGGAATTTCCTGGGAAAGTGTCTTTGAGGGCACAGGAACAGAACAGAGCTGGCATCTCTTTAAGGACACACCAGAGATCACAAGAGCTCTCCATCCCACAGCAGAAGAAATTGAGCAGAGGCGGCGGCTAAGCAAGGACCTGCAGCTTCAGCTGAGGGAAAACAGAGATATGTACAGTGGTTGCGTAGCCTGGGAAGAATATAGGGACATCATCCACATGTGTAGAAATAAGATCAGGAAAGCCAAGGCACAGATAAAGCTGAACTTGGCAAGGAACGTGAAAAATAACAAGAAGGGGTTCTACAGGTACATAAGCAGGAGGAGACATATCAAGGAGAGTGTTCCCTCTCTGATAAATGAGGACGGAGAGCTGGCTTTCTCAGACATGGAAAAAGCTGAGGTGCTCAAAAAGTGCTTTGCTTCAGTTTTCACTAGTGGTCAGTCTCCTCCCCATATCCACCAGGACCCTGAAGCTCTAGGTGTGGGTGAGAGGAGCAGATTCCATCCCACTATAACAGTGGAACAAGTCCTAGACCTCTTCAGGAATCTGAATGTATGCAAGTCCATGGGCCTGAATGATATCCATCCTAGGGCTCTGAGCGAGATAGCTGATGTGGCTGCTGAGTTGCTATCCACCATATTTGAAAAATTTAAGGCTGTCCGGTGAAGTCCTCAGTGACTGAAAAAAGGGAAACATTGCTCCCATTTTTAGAAAGGGAGAATAGGCTGGTGAGTGTCACCTCTGTGCCTGAGAAGATCATAGAACAGATCCTCCTAGAAGCTATGTTAAGGCACATACGAGACAAAGAGATGATTCAAGTCAGCCAGCATGGCTTCACCAAGGGAATATTTGCCTGACCAATCTGATGGCCATCTATGATGGAGTGGTGGCATCAGTGGACAGGGGAAGGGCGACGGATGTCATCTACCTGGACTTCTGCAAAGCCTTTGACATGGTCCCTCACCACATCCTTCTCTCTAAATTGGAGAGGCATGGATTTAAGGATGGACTGCTCAGTGGATTAAGAATTGGTTGGCTGGTCGCATCCAAAGGGTTGTGATCAGTGGTTCTGCGTAAGGGTGGAGGCCAGTCACAAGCAGTGTCCTCCAAGGCTCAGTTTTGGGACCAGTGCTCTTCAACATTTTTATAACGACATGATGGAATCGAGTGCACCCTCAGCAAGTTTGCGGATGACACCAAGCTGAGCAGTGCAGTCGATATACTGGAGGGAAGGGAAACCATCCAGAGGGACCTAGACAGGCTGGAGAAGTGGGCCAATGTGAACATTATGAGGTTCCACAAGGCCAAGTGCAAGGTGTTACACTTGGGCTGGGGCAATCCCAGAAGTTTATACAAACTGAGGGAAGAACTCCTTGAGAGCAGCCCTGCAGAGTAGGTCCAGGGAGTCCTGGTGGACAAGAAGCTGGACATAAGCCAGCAGTGTGCTCTTGCAGCCCGGAAGGCCAACTGTGTTCTGGGCTGCATTAAAAAAAGGGGTGGCCAGCAGAGAGAGGGAAGTGATTGTCCCCCTCAACTTGGCTCTTGTGAGGCCCCATCTGGAGTACTGCATCTAGGCCTGGGGCCCCCAGTACAAGAGAGACACAGAGCTCTTGGAACAAGTCCAGAGGAGGGCCACGAAGATGATTACAGGGCTGAAGCACTTTTCCTATGAGGAAAAGTTGAGGAAACAGGGCTTGTTTAGCTTGGAAAAGAGAAGGCTCAGGGAAGAGCTCATTGTGGCCTTCCACTACATGAAGTGAAGGCAGTTATGAGGATGAACAGTGATAGAACAAAGGGGAATGGTTTTAAACTGAGACAGAAGAGATTTAGGTTAGATATTAGGAGGAAGTTTTTCACTTAGAGGGTTGTGAAGCACTGGAACAAGTTGCCCAAGGAGGTTGTGAAAGCCCCAACCCTGGAGGCATTCAAGCCCAGGCTGGATGAGGCTCTGGAGAGCCTGGTCAAGTGGTTGGCGACCCTGCCCATGGCAGGGGGCTTAAAACTAGATGATCTTTGAGTCCTTTTCAACCCAGGCCATTCTATGATGATTAGAATATATTTATATAACTTGAAGACTAACAGTCTATGAGAAATAGCATGCTAAACATTGCTAAGAATCACTGTACTGAATTAAATACCTAATCTTTTGTGCCAAATCATAGAAACTGAAAAATTTAAATCCTTTTTTCAAGACGGTATATTAGAGTTTCACAGTTGCTTTTGACTTGTAAAATAATTCTCAAAAAATTATACGTATGTGTATCATTTTACCCAGCTAAACATGAAGAGATATTCCTTAAATAATTCTTCCTGTCATCCATGCAAAACTCTTTTTTAGCTCACACAAAGGCATTGAAAGGGTGGAAAATGGTATCTATTCATTCACTACAATAGAATAGGTGCATTTCGCAACTTGCTTACATTTTCAGAAATAAAGAGGAAGAAACATAAATGTAGCAAATACCAATAGATCACCAATTTCTTTTTTTCAAACTGTAAGGCCACATGGAAACAGATTTTATACACAGCTAGTCAAAACAGAAATGAAAAATGCTGACAATATGGCACGTGTTCATTGACCCATCCAAAGCAGTCAGCCCGAAGAACATGCTCATTCTTCCCTCCCATAAAAAAAGGCTGACAGAGATGGGCCTATTCGGCCTGGAGAAGACTTGAGGCTCTGAGTGATGTCTATAAATACCTGAAGGGAGAGTGCAAAAAAGACAGAGCCAGGCTCTTTTCAGTGGTGCCCAGTGCAAGGACAAGAGGCAATGAGCACAAACTTGAGCACAGAAGGTTCCCTCTGAACATCAGGAAGCACTTCTGTGCTGTGTGGGTGATGAAGCACTGGCACAGGTTGTCCACAGAGTCTCTCTTCAAAAGTTGCTGGGACACAGGCCTGGGCACCCTGCTTTGGTTGGCCCTGCTTAAGCAGGAGTTGGAGCAGGACAGAGAGTTCTCAGATGGCTGACCTCAGCCATCCTGCAATTTTGTCATTCCATTGTGAGGCAAACCCCAGAAGTGTAAGAGGGAAAAGAAATGCAACATTTCTCTTAAAGTGAAATGAAAAATGTCTGGGGAAATGGTACAACATCACTGTACATGCTTAGCTTCTCTTAGGAATGGAAACTTCAGAAGCTTTTTTCAGAATAAGTTCCCTTTTGATGAAATTAGTATAAATTGTATCAAAGAAAACAGACACATTTCTACAAATAGTTCAGCTACAGTGTTGACTAGAACACTGCTATCAATTAACAGCAAATATATTAAAAGGGAAACTTTTTATAAGTTGTTGCAAACATGTCTATGTATTAGGCTTCAGAAAAGCACAGAGAACCAGACCTCTTTCAAGCAGTTATTCCTAAAAGCATCATCAGGTACCCTACACAGTGGTCCTTTCTCAAGATTGAAACTTGTTAAGCCTAACCTACACATAAGGAAGAGAAACTACAAGGCCCACAAAATCTAATTAAACAAAAAAAAGTTTTTGCATAGCATTTAGTTTCAGATTTTGCAGTAGACTTGAAAGCTGGTACAGATGGCTCTCCTGAAGCTGCAGGTCCTGACACTTCCAGAGAGATAAATACTTTATAAAGTAAGAGATTGATATTTCCTGAAAACAAACAAGTCAGCCTAACCTCCCCAGCAACACTGCAGGTTTCTTGACCAGCAGGATCTACACTTAAGCTTTCAGTTTACTACCTGAATGAAATGATAGTCTCAGTCCCATCCTTTTTTGCTTTGCCAGTTCCAAACCAAATCTCAGTAATGACATTACTAGTTTGGTGCTCCCTACTGACAGCTGTCTCATATTTCCCTTCTCATTTTCAGCAACAACTCTATTTTCCATTTCCTACAATCAGTTTTTTCCAGTCACACCTTGTTTACCTCAATTAAGTCTAATTAGAATCCTTAGTTTTGTGCATTTCTTATTAGTATGTTTTCATAGCAGTACAAAAGATACAGATTGATCCTGTACAATAATGTTGTGTTCCTGTATCTTGCTGGCTCACTGCAAATAGGAACAACATGAAAAGAGTTACAGATTGAACCTTATTTTATCCCGAACTCCTCCTCTTAGTGCCGTGAACATAAATAAATAAAATACTTAAAAAACCTGCTTAATTGCCCTGTGAGGTTATAGTTTGAAGTTTGTCATAGCCAAGGAGGTCCAAAACGTAGATGCACGCTAAAAATCAAAATCAGAGTTTAACACAATTGACTAAGCATTTTTCTTTCATTCCAGATTTAATTTTCACTAATGAAAATGGCTAACATATTTTATCTGAAGTTTCCCCTTTAACTGAAATGCAGGGAGAGAAAACACGCTATGTAAAATTTCAGGCCAAACTTCCAGTCTAAACTGGAAGCAACCAACAAACAGAGGCTGAGCAACCAAAACTAAGTAATAAATAAGACCATCTGTAGTGCGTATTTATTATATAATATGACACTGGAAAATGTGCCATCTTAACTCATTTACCTTGAACTCTTCAACAATAATACTCAAGGCTTCATGTCCAGCTTTTCTCATATCTTCTAACTCCTGCTTATGCTTTTCCTATACAAAAAAAAAAAAAGGAAAGATTATATACAATATAAGCACATAATATTAATTAAGAGAGGAAATGACAACTATTTTCCTCATTTTTTCTATCTTTCATGAAAAAGCATACATCTCTTGGATTTTTTATTATATATGTACTCAAAACGCAAGCTTTTCCAAAAGTTAAACTTAGTTTATTTATTAAATTTACTCTAGTAAAATTCTGAACAGTTCTTTATGGTTTTTTTCTGTTGTTTTGTTTCTCTGATTTTTCTGCTTTCTTGATGCACTTGTGGATGGCTAGACTTCTGAATGACTGTTAGTGAAAAAAACCACAACTATAACTTTAAAACGTTGTGGGAATTTTATTTACTGACTACTTTATTAACCCATTTTAACACTTTTATTATTAGATTTGGCTTTCTCAGAACAGCAATACCTGATATAATTCTTTTTCTAATGTACAGAAACATTAATTTTTCTTTTGCCTTCAAAAAGGCAAAAACACTTGCATGTGGTTTACAGTGTCTGAAATGTGAATACTTCATTAGACTCTCATCAGCATTTCACACTTACAAATGAGCAGCATCATCTTTTCAAATAATAAGTTGGTAAGAAACATGAAAAACTTACCCCTCCTCCCTCATTATCAGTTTCAGTTATCTGTTTTTAAAATCAGCCAGTACACACACACTTATCCACAACGTAATTACTCACCTGCCAATTGATGCCCAGCTAACAAAACAAACGCCTGCCAACCAACAGCCAGCTTGCAATGCAACGTCTCACCACCCACTGACCAATGTCCAGCCAAACCCTAAGCAGCAGCCCACCCCCAAACAATTCCTCACAGTTTGATAGCCTTTCTGCATAACGTCACATGGAATGGAATAATCTCTTGCCTAACTCAAGCTAGCAGCCTTGTTGCCTGGTGCCATGCCATAATGGCAGCTGCTGTTCCACTGAGCGGTCTGGTCAAGTCTTCCGCACACTCCAATCACTCAGAAACAATAGCATACTGATGTGCTATTAATACATTCTCATCAGAAACCACAACAACATCCACCCTTATTCTGTAAAATTCACATCATGCTCAGGTCCAACACTTTCCCATACATCCTGATTAATCACATGGGAATCATTCCAGTAATCTATGGGCAAGCCCTCTGAATTGTTCATTTAGTCCCTGACTTTGGGGTCCATCTATCGTAACAGTCCTTCAGGGCAGGACAGATGATGCATGGTGCTGAATTATTGCATGCTGAAGCCAGTTATGGTTTTGAGAAAAGGGTTAGAATCCATTTTTCTTCGATTTAGTTGATTCTTACTGTACTACTACTGGTTCCTGGCTCTTCTCAACAAACATCAAATTCCTTTAAGGTACATATCAGATTTCACCGTCCTTACATATAACCCACAAGTGAATCCAGGACCATGTGTGCGATTGCCCAGACATGCCCAAGACACTCCTAGCCCATGGGCCACATGTGGCTTGTCCCTGCTCATACTATGGTCCAGCCCCTGATCCATGCCTTTGTGGCAGCAGCTCTTTCCTGCCAACCACCCCACTTTCAGGTGACATAAATACATTACTTGTGAATTTTCAAACTGAACATATAGAACTGCAATCAGAGATTCAACTCAAAGAAAAATCTGATCATCTTTCTCTACTAGACTTTTATAAGACCTATGTGATCAGAGAAAAATGTCCCTTACTAAACTGTTTTCAAGGGTGAAGGACAAGGAGAGAAGAATTTCATCAAAAAATCTCTAATAAGAAAAATACCTGGAGAACTCACTAAGAACTGAAATACTTCCAATGAACCAGATGCATTAGTTTCACAAAAACACAGTTAAATATCTGACTAGTTTTATGTTTTAGTTGCTCTAGTTTTAAATGCTTCCATAAAAATACAAATAAATAAAAAAAGGTTTGTCAGGTATATACTTTAACAATATCGTATATGAGGCTCAAGATGATTCCTCTTCGCTCACTGCGGTCCATGCAAGCCAAAAGGTTGGACAACCATGCCTTTCCCCAGTGCAGAAATAACCCAGACTGTATTGCTTAGTGTGTTTTTTGTGTTCACTGTAACAGGATTTGGATCCTCTATCACTGACTTTGAAACCTTTGGGGATCAAACTTGAGTCTCCCCTGGTGATTTCTGCCAGAAGCTACAAGTGGGGCCATTCTCCCCAGCTGCAGTGTAGTGCACATTTTTTACATCTTGTCCTGTCTGGAGCGGTCCAACGGCTGCAGCATGAACTACCTCCTGTTAAATTTGTTCAAAGGCTTGTTGTAGCTTAGGACTTCATGTAAAATCATTCTTCGTCTGGGTCACTTGAAAGAGACGATTTACAGTCAAACTGTAATCCAGAATATACATTTTCCAAAAACCCACAACACCTAGGAAAGCTTGTGTTTCCCTTTTTCTAGTTGGTGTGGATTAAGTTATTTTGTTGATCAAATCCATAGGGATCTGATTACATCTATCTTGCCATTTTATTCCTAAGAACCGGGTTTCCTGTGCAGGTCCCTTACTTTGCTTCATGTCAAAACCAGCTTTGGAAGGATTTGGTTTATTTTCTCAAAACTTCTGCTGTGTTGCCCCACACTATGATGTCATCAACATACTGCAGGTGTTCAGGAACTTACCCTGTTCCAGTGCAATCTGGATCAGACCATAGCAACTCTGTTTCCACCCCTTGGGTAGTTGACTCCAGGTACTAGACGCCCCTCCAATTGAAACAAAACTGTGCCCTGCATTCTGCTGCCAAAGGGATTGAGAAAAATGCATAGGCAATATCAATTATAGAATACTACTTACTTGCCTTTAGCTCCAGTTCACACTGAAGTTCTAGCATGCCTGGCACAGAAGCACTTAATGGTGGTGTGACTTCATTCAGGCCATGACAGTCCATTGTTAGCCTCACTCTCCACTGGACTTTCGCACTGGCCATACAGTATTGTTAAAGGTGAGCCAGTGTTTGGCTTTGATTACTCTTTGTCTCTCCAGTTGATGAATCAGCATAGGGATGGGAATCAGGTAGTCCCAGTCGGTGCAATACTGCCATCAGTGCACTGTCACTGTAACAATTCGCACCTGCTTCTCACAATCCCTCTGCAAAGTATCCTCTGAAAGACCGGGCAAGTCAAGAACAGCTAATAAATGTCCTCCATCTGCAAGAACTACATACTGAAGGCCAACAGTATCCTTTTGGATTCCTGAAGTATCCTATTCTGAGGTAATCTGTATCAAGGATGCATGCAGTCTCTGAGCTGGACAAAATGGGGTGCTTTTGCCACTCATTCCCAGTTAGGCTTATTTCAGCCTCCAATGCACTTAGTGCTTGAGATCCTGTTACTCCAGAAATACAGATGGGTTCTACTCCCTTATAACTTGATGGCATTAGAGTAAACTGCACTAGCATCCACTAAAGTCTTATACTCTCATGCTTCTAATATGCCAGGCCATAAAATCTATACATTCCAATAAACCCGATTATCTCGTTCCTCCACATGACTAGAAAATAGGGCCCCTCTGGTTCTGGTTATTGTATTCATGAATGCAAACCAAAGACTTGTTACCTGACTCAGAAATAGGATCAAATCACCTTCTTTGTCTAGGAGACTGTGCACTGGAAATTAGAGCAGCCATTTTCCTTGAAGAATCCCCTATTTGAACTGCTCTTCCTCACAACTCTTGTATACCTGCCTCTAGGGTCACGGTGGATTTGATATCCCACTTTCTCATATCCTTTCCATAGTCATGCAGGTAAAACTAGAAGGTGGCATGCGGTATATACCCACTATATCCTCTCCCTTGAGAACAGGAATGCTTAATTCTAATGGCTGAGATACTGGATACCATATAGATAGAGAATAAGAGTTACTGTCTCTGAATTGCTGGAGCTCCCAGGTCTGTTTCTCTACAGATGAGAAAGGGAGATTTCCTTCATATTGTCAAAGTAGATTAGCCACTTCATCTATTGCTGGATTTTCATTATCTTTCCAAACCACTGCTGCCACTGCTTGCATACAAGATGGTGTGCTCTGTACAAATTTCTACCATACAGATCGTGGGAACTTGGTGTTGTCTGTATCTTGGGATAACCGATCACCCTTGAGGTCATACATACCTCCGACACAGCCAATTCCATTATGTGCTGAATAACTTTATCCCGGTGATTCACTTGCCTAGGTAAAGTATCAGGTCTTCTCTGAAGGGACATCTTCCTTTCATGGCTGATAAAAGTCATCTCTGCAGGGTGAAGGCTTGTGTACCTTTTCCCAATTGCTTTCATAGAATCATAGAATGGTTTGGGTTGGAAGAGACCTTTAAGATCATCTAGTTCCAACACCCCTGCTATAGGCAGGAACACCTCCCTCTAAACCAGGTTGCTCAAAGCTCCATCCAGCCAGGCCTGGATGGAGGCCAGGACTGGAACATCAAGAGCCTCTCTGGGCAACCTGTTCAAGTGTCTCACTACCCTCACAGTAAAGAATTTCTTCCTTATATCTAGTTTAATTCTACTCTTTTTCAGATTATAATCTTCTCCCCTTGTCCTGTCACTATGTAGCATTATATCAAGTCTCACCACAGTTTTCTTGTAGGCCTCCTTCAGATACTGGAAGGCTGCTATAAGGTCCCGCAGGAGACTTCTCCAAGCTGAAAAGGCTCAACTCTCTCAGTGTGGTATCATAGCAGAGGTGCTCCAGTCCTCTGATCATCTTTGTGGCCCTCCTCTGGACCTGTTCCTACTATTTCATGTCTTTTTTTGTGTTGGGGGCTCCAGCAAAGAATGCAGTACTCCAGGCAAGGTCTCACAAGACAGAGTAAAGGGGCAGAAGCATTTCCCTTGACCTGCTGGTCACGTTTTAATTGATGCAACCCAGGATACAGTTGGCCTTCTGGGTTGCAAGCACACATTGCCAGCTAATGTTGAGTCTTTCATCAACTGACACTCTCAAATCCTTCTCCTCAGGGCTGCTCTCAAGCCATTCTCCAATCAGT